CGTGGTTGCCTCTATTTAGAGGAGCAATTTATTTTCCAAAGTCGTGGTGCCTCTGTTTAGAGGAGCAATTTATTTTTCAAAGTTTCGTTGCCTCTGTTTAGAGGAGCAATTTACTTTTCAAAGTCGTGGTGCCTCTGTTTAGAGGAGCAATTTATTTTTCAAAGTTTCGTTGCCTCTGTTTAGAAGAGCAATTTACTTTTCAAAGTCGTGGTGCCTCTGTTTAGAGGAGCAATTTACTTTCCAAAGTTTCATTACCTCTGTTTAGAGAAGCAATTTATTTTCCAAAGTTTCGTTGCCTCTGTTTAAAGGAGCAATTTACTTTTCAAAGTTGTGGTGCCTCTATTTAGAGGAGCAATTTATTTCCAAAGTTTCGTTGCCTCTGTTTAGAGGAGCAATTTACTTTTTAAAGTCGTGGTGCCTCTGTTTAGAGGAGCAATTTATTTTTCAAAATCGTGGTTACCTCATTTAAAAGAGCAATTTACTTTTCAAAGTTGTGGTGCCTTTGTTTAGAGGAGCATTTATTTTTGAAGTCATGGTGTTTCTGCTTAGAGAATTTGTTTATTTTTCCAAGTCGTTGAGCCTCTGCTTAGAGGAGCTTTGATCAATTTAAAAAAAAAACAAAAAAAAATAAAAAAAATTACCTCTGATTAGAGGAGCCTTTTATTTTTCAAAAGTCGTTGAGCCTCTAATTAGAGGAGCCATTTATTTTCCAAAAAATCGTTGAGCCTCTGATTAGAGGAGTTTTGTTTATTTTTCAAAAGTATTTGAGCCTCTACTTAGAGGAGTTTTAATTAAATTTTAACGAAAAAAAAATAAAAAAAAGGGTCGAGTGGAGCCTTGAATGGGTGTCTACGTCTTTGCGCAATTTCTGTTTCACAGAAAATGTGCAAAGAAGGGCAGCTGTAGACACCCAATTTGGTCCAGGCCCGGATCAATTGAGCCTGGTCCAAATGGGTAGGCCCGTTTTATTTTTTTTGTTCTAGTATTTTTGTTGTTTGTATCTTAGTTACTTATTATTTATTATTACTATCTATTAATATATATATATATATTATTTTCATTTTTATTATTTATCTATTGATATACATATTATTATTATCTATTATTATTATTATTATTATTATTATTGTTATTTATCTATTAATAGTTTTATTTATCTAAATTTTTTTTTTGGTTATCTATTAATATATTTATCTTTTTATTTTTATTAATTTTTGGTTAAGATTAGAATAAAAAATTTGGAATGAATTTGGCTATGATTTGGGAATTGACGGAGTTGAAATTGGATTCAAAGATTGAATCCAAATCCCAGAAAGAGTTGGGATTGATCAGAAACTCTTCTGATCAATCCCTATAAATAGGTGTTGGAAGAACAGAAGAAAACACACAGAAAAAAAGCAGACACAGAGAAGAAACATAAGATAAAAAAAGATTTTGGTATGTTAGAATCTCGAGTCGAGTCTCCGAGCTGTTTTTTTTTCTCAAGCCGAGCCGAGCTGTTCCCAAGTTTTTTTTTATTATTATATTAGGATTGTTTAATATTTTTATTTTTTTATTTTTGTTTTTATTTTTATTTTTATTATTTATTTATTTATTTATTATTATATTAGGATTGTTTAATTTTTTTTTATTTTCGTTTTTTTATTTTTTATTTTTATTTATTTTATTTTCTTTAAATAAAGTTAAAAAAATATATTTTTCCTTAAAAATAAATTTTCAAAAAAAAAAGTTTTGAGGAAAAGTTGAAAGTATCAATTTTTCTTAAAAATAAATTTTCAAAAAAAGTTTTTTTGAGGAAAAGTTGAAAATATCAATTTTTTTTTAAATTAAAGTTTCCAAAAAATATTTTTGGGAAAAAGTTGAAAGTATCAATTTTCCTTAAAAATAAATTTTCAAAAAAAGTTTTTTTGAAAAAGAGTTGAAAGTATCAATTTTCTTCAAAATTAAAAGTTTCCAAAAAATATTTTTAGGGAAAAGTTGAAAGTATCAATTTTCCTTAAAAATAAATTTTCAAAAAAATATATTTTGAGGAAAAGTTGAAAGTATCAATTTTTCTCGAAATTAAAGTTTTCAAAAAATATTTTTAGGGAAAAGTTGAAAGTATCAATTTTCCTTAAAGATAAATTTTCAAAGGGATTTTTGAGGAAAAGTTGAAAGTATCAATTTTCCTTAAAAATAAGTTTTCAAAAATGAATTTTTGAGGAAAAGTTAAAAGTATCAATTTTCCTCGAAATTAAAGTTTCAAAAGAATATTTTTGGGGAAAAGTTGAAAGTATCAATTTTTCTTGCACAAAAACAATCATTTTTTTCTTTTTATTTTTTTCATATTGAATAATCCAACGATGGAGCCTCTGCAAGTGAAACAGTAGTTTTCTTGCATACTCTTGAGGTGAGGGAATTTTCTTAATTTTTTGCTAAAAGTATTAGAGTCAATTGAGAATAATTTCCAATAATTAATTACTTGATAAAATTTTAAGGCTTATTGGATAACACAAAATTAAGCTGGTACCATCTTTTGGTGGGCATTGTGAGGGTGCTATAACCTTCCTCACACGTAACCGAACTCCCGAACCCTGTTCTGGTTAGTAAACCCGAACCTATTCTTTTAGGAACCCTTAAACTTAGATGTTCCTTGAAATGACAGATTCCTTAGGTGGCCAATCACACCTAGATAAAAAAGATTGGTGACGACTCCTAAAAGTCAATGTCTAGCGATAGATCCTCGGATCTAAATGTTATGACATATACAAATCAAACATGATATAAGATAATTATTATCCTATCCTATCAATAATTTTATGCATCAAATATGACCTAAGATTATAACATACAGTTTTTAACACTAGGTGATGTGGAAAGATGGAGCCTTGGAGTTGTTTGTTTTATCTGTCTACTTGATATTGTTTTTTATATATAGTTGTTTGTTTTCACTGTGTGCTAGATGCTTTTCCTTGATATAATTCTTCATTTGCTATGTGCTCAAGACGTTAAACTCAAGTAACTTTTGAAATTAGTTATCTTCATCGATCGTTAACTAGATACATTCAACCACTAACTAGGATCATGAATATATTTAAACAGAATGTTGGATTCCCTTATTAGTCTTCACTTATTTGTCTCTTACTGTGGACTGGTCAGATGTTTATATAACTCTATTTCCAAGCAGAGTAGCATATGTTTGTAGAATTGGTAGCCTAATTAACCACAATGGTGTGCGTATCTGGTAACGCCGTTACTGATGAAAATCTTAAGGCAATACTGGAGTACCAAGGCAAGATAATAACACTCAAAGACGGATCAGAAAATGTGGCTCTAATGATGAAAAGTTCAGAAAATGTGGATCAAATTTTAACCGCTCAAGTATACTCTTGAATAATATTTGATATATGTTAATTATACAATTAACAAATAGCTTTAAAATACTCTATATATGAAAAATTGTTCATATGCAATCAAGATTGTAATAATAGATTTTTAACATCTTTTAACATTTGAACACATGCCTTAGAAGGTTAGGAATGTGAATCTTCGTAATAATCTTTTCATTCGATGTAGCATGGATCAAAGTTAAATATATTAGAATTTTATCTGTGTGTCGTTGTAGGATAAATTTTTTTAATTTTTATAAATATCCATCTTAATATACGTGTAGAAAACTATCTCTCTTTCTTCACCTTTTAATAAAAGAAAAGGTAAAAAAAAAATTGTTATGTAAGCAACCCAATTGGCAATCCCCATGTAGGACTCTATTTTAGTATAATAAGCCAACCCCCCCCCCCCACCTCCCCAAAAAAAAAAAAAAATTGTAGATGCCTAATTGAATGAAAAAATAGCCCTCTATTAGTCCCAAAATTCTATATTCTAATCAAATTAAACTCAACTTTTATACAGTGCCATAGATAGATATAGTTCTAAATCCATACCCACCGCTCTCATCTTTAGCAACCATCCGCAACTCTTCTAAATTTGAAGAAAAAATATTAAATAACCACCCTGCCTAATGATTCTTAATATTAAAAAAAAAAAAAAAAAAAAAAAAAAAACAGTTTCCCTCACTTTATTTGAAGTAAAGTAAATATTAGAAATGATCGTGGAAGACCCTCTAACTGCTAACTGGAAAGGACTTGACGGCATGCTTGGGATGAAAATTTAAAAAGAAAAGAAAAACTTTTTTAATTAAATATTTAGGAAAATTTTCAAGTTTGGAATTCACTACCTCCTCTCTTGAAAATTATCATATTAATGTAATTTTATTTATATTAGAAAACAAATTATAAAATTTTCTAGGGTACTTAGCATTGTTTGTAATTAAACATCTTGGAATTTTTGGTTTTTTTGTTGAATAAATAGGTTGGAACTATCATCTCTTTTTTAAGTTGAAATCTTATCTTCATTGTCTTAAATTTAGTCTTGATTAATTTTTCTTTTAATAATTAGCAGAAATATTGTTGTACCTACATTATATGTGGGTGGTATTGTGAGATGAAACCTTCGAAAAAAAATGTGAGGCGAAATAATATATATATATATATATATATATATATATATATATATTGCTCTAATGATAAGGATAAGCCAGAGGTGAGGTGCATTGGTTACGAATAATTTGGTTTTGTTAAAGTGAGAGAGTTAAATTGCATTAATTGAATAATCGACTATTCCCATGCCCAAAGTCGAAGTTTCCCACTGGTTTGGCTTTCTAAATACAAGCCACGTGGATCTTCCTTTGGCCATAGTCTGATGAAGTGAGTCGCATCTCTTGATCATCAATTGTCAAACGGTACAACATTTTTTGACATTACAAACCTTCAAAAGTGACAGAAGACTATTTCGATCAAATGAAAAAGAAACATGCAGAAAGTTGAAGTATCTGGTTTGAAAGGAGCCGAAAGAAGCGGAAAAATAAATTGAATGATGCAGTGGCTGACGTTTATGGAGGGATTTTGCAGCCTATAAATAGGCTTAGTTGTGAAGGTGAAGGCAAGCCAATAAGTCACGTAAATTCTCGTAAAATTGGTGGCCTTGGTTCAAATTAACCAAAATGGTGTACGTATTTGGTAAGGCCATTACTGATGAAACTCTTAGGGCAAAACCGGAATACCAGGGCAAGGCAATAACACTCAATGACAGAGCACGTGAGGCTCTAATAATGAAAAATTCAGAGGACAGAGATGTTATGGTTCGCCAACAAGTCGAGAAACTCATGGAGAAAGTAGGCGTTCGTGTGTTTACAGTTTGCCTAATTTACAATGCCACTGGGGACACCTTAACGTTGGTTACTTATCGTGACTGGTCCGGCCATATTGGATTCACCCCATACCCACCAAAGATTGAAAATGGGCAGTTTGGTGTGTTTCTGCACGTTGGAGATGTTGACACCTCTGATGCTAGTTCAGTCGGGGCTGTCGTTTATCGTGGTAAAAAAATGGCTGGTGAAGACTGTGACTGGATGCAAGCCTGGACTAACAAAAAGTCTAACCGGTAACGTCTTCTTTTACAAGTACCGGATCGGTACTTTTCCATATGCCATTTTTATAACTGTCTTGGTAATTTACATTGAACCCAACAACTGCAGGCTTATTCTGAGATCCGTGAAGTTGACCACTGGAAGATTGGTGATGACGGAATCTGGGACGTTGTCTATAATAAAATGAGCAAGTCCAGCGTCATGAACATCGAAAAATGGGAAGGAGTTTCCTCAGTTGTTGTCATTGGCAACGACAGGTGCTCAATCTTTGAGGCAATTCTCCAGCATCCAAACTAAGTGTTGCTATCCTTGGTCAATACCGAAGATCCCAAGCCGTTAATGATGTATTATACTATGGAATAATTAAATAATTTGACAGCTTGGTTGTTGTGTGTGCTATATATATTTATATATTAACTACTGTGGTTATTACTATGTTTACTATATAAATAAAATAACATTTTTCCAAATAAAAAAATATTATTACTACTATTGGTGGCTTGGTTGATTAGATCTCAGCAATATCAGGCAGGTCATTTTCCCCCACATTCACTGCGAACGTAACATGCTGGGTTGAAGAAACTTGGAACTCCCTGGGTGCCATCAGATTTAATAACAAATTAAGCTAGCCTCCTGCCTTTCGTTGTTAAAAACGAATTAAGTTATTTTTTCTGGGTTTACAAAGAGCCCAAACCAAAGATGAGGAAAAGGGAATGCCATGACAGATTAGCTTAACAGGTCCAATCAAATGAAAGATTATCTGTTTGAATTTTGAAGAGTAAATTTTGGGAAAATATTTGAGATTGCTCAAACTCCAATTGCTCGCTCTGCTGCTCTATAACTCAATCAAACCCAAACTGAATAAATTGTAAAAGTCAATGGGTTAATTTTAATTTAATTAGATACATACTTATCTAAATAATAAAAAGAAAAAGGTCAAAATCCAACTCCGCGACGTACTATGTATCTCCAGGCATGAACTCATGATGAAAATGTGTACTTTTTATTCTTTTTTCTTCTTTTTAGCAAATGTATCCCACCCATATTCTTATCACCTGAGGTTAGTCCAGGTAGTAAAAGAAAAACAACATAAACGTTTAAAACTTTCATTTTGTTTCTAAATTATCAATAGTAAATATCTTAATCATGAACCTAACTTGTAGGTACTGTATTTCGAATGAATTCTACATTAATGTAAGTAATTTTATATATATATATGAATCTTAGTGTGAATTTAATTACATGTGTATCAAATTATGATTAGTTGATACTCGCCTATATGACTTTTTAAAATTAACAAACAACATGTTTAATGTCTAAAATTTAAAGTTTTCTTAACAAGATAGATATTTAAAAAAAAAAAAAGGAAAATTTTAGAAAGCCTTGAATATTGTTGTCCGATTTTTATTTTTTCTACAAAAATAAAAATACAAAGAGGAGATTTGAATCTTAAACCTCAGTCTTGTTTAATAATAAAGATTATTAAATTTAAAATAAATAAGCTTTTTTATGGTTATATTTTCACAAAGATATAAATTTAAGTTTAACATATATACTGGTATTATGTAATAATTAAAATTTAATTGATAATTATCCAATTGTTATCATATTTTTTTCAATTAACTTTTTTCTCATCATAACTTGCAGGCTCAATTTTTTTAAATTATTATATTTTAAAATAATTGATATAATTAGCTTAATTTTTTTATCTTTTATAATCAACAAATATCATATAACAAATTAAAAGATTTTAACTTATCCTACCAAAGTCTCTATTTTATTGTTCTTAAATCTAATTTTTTTAATTTTAAAAATATAAGTTTTATATTTTTTTATTTTAATACTTAAAATATTAAATATGATAAGATAATACATTAATAATATAAAAACTATAATGATTTTATTTTTAGATAAAAATGATTATAGTGATTTATAAATAAAAATCATAAAATTAATTGTTTAATATATATTCATTTTGTTATTTTCATAAATTTTAAATTCAAGAACCTATCCAAAAAACTATGGAGTCGTAATCAAATTTTTTATCTAAATGTGATTCTAAACTTAAATAAATCTATCTTTTTTATAGTGATTCTAAACTTAAACTAAGAGTTCCTACAAAGAATAAATTTTAGTCTATATCAATAAAAATTTAAGAGTCAGTTTCATGTAGGAAAAGTATTAACACCCCATAACGCTCAAAATTGATATCAAATTAATTATATGTTATCTTATTGAAGCCTTAATCAAATATGATTTTTTTATTAATTTTGACATTTTAATATTGAAAAAAAAAACTTTAGGTTTTCACTAAAAAAGAAATTTTTCTTCACCTAAAAAGCATTAAAAATAAACTTGTTGCTCACCTTAAAAGACTCCATCTTCGAATTTAGTAAATATTTTATAAAAAAATAAATTTAAATTCCTTTTATTTGAGGAGGTAAAGCTGCTATGACAACCGAATCTCTGATTTTTTTATTTTTTATTTTTTTACTTTTTTAATTTATCTTAGTAAAACATTATTCTGGGGTTAAAAATTGAATTTTCACTTTCAACATTAAATTTTGGGTTTTCAAACCCACATAATTTAACTTTAATCAATCAAAATTAAATTGAAATGGGCCTAACCAATGCAGAATGATAAAAAAAAAAATTAATTTAAAATCAAACCAAATGAATCAAACAAAATAAATCAATTTAAAATACTCAATTAAACTCGAATTGAAATGTCCAAATTAAATAATAAAAATCAAATAAACTCGAATCATTCCAAATAAAATTAAACATCCACATGTGTTCATGTGGTTAAAATTATTAAATAATAATTGCTCTTCTAATGATGACAAATCAATAATGATGCCAAGAATTAAACTTCACTAAATCCATGAAATTAACGGATTTCACCCGGCAATTATAAAGTGAGCTATCCAAAAACTCAGAATTAAGATTTACAAATTTTAAATCAGTATTTCCCAAATAACTAAATTCAACTAAATAATCTAAGCTGAGTAACTAATCTAAAAGTGTTTCTCACTTTAAACCAGGCAACTATCTTGAAAAAAATTGGTTGGACTTATGTATCCCACCTTGATCGATGACACTCATAATATTGAAAATTAACTCAAATTTTTTTTAAGAGATTTGTTTAAAATTTTTTTGAAACTAATTAAATATTATTTGATTAATAAAAAATTTAAAAAATTAAAATTTTTTTAAAATAAAAAAGAAAACTTGATGGATAAATTATGAGGTTTATAAAATAATTGAGGATGAGGTATGAGAGAAAATAGAAACACCCTTAAAATATCTAATCTAAGAGTGTTTTTACATATGTATGATTAAATGTTCGATTAGATTTAAATGAGAGTTTTGGTGTGTATGTTTTGGGTTTGTTGACTGGCTGGATTGGAATTGATTGATGTGTTTTGTGAGATTTATCGTTATCACCCAATTGTTGTGTTTTATGAGATAATTTATTACTTGATGAATCTTCTCTTCTCTTAATGGTTGTTATTTAACCGTTTGGCCCAACATCTGATCCTGCCACAATTTTAACGAAAAACATTAATAATTTTTGTCAGATCCAGGTAATTGCGTCCAGCCAACACGAAAGGGTCGAGCAGTCTCATTCATGCAGACCTACATGTTTTCGGATGTGATAGCTACTAGAATTTTCCCTGTTATTAATTACCTCCAATCATTTTCCTTGATATTAATTACCAACAACAATTACGTATCGACACGCCATCTCACACATGACAGACTAGTGGCGGTTCCTCATTGAAAATTTTTGATAAAAAAAAAAAAAAAAAAAACTTTACACTTGTTACTATTTTCTCAATAATTTTAATTTTTTAATAAAAATAGTTAAATCTCTCGAACTTAAATTTATTTTATTTATATATATTATTTTTTATTTTATAAATTTATTGGATATAATAATAAAAATTATTTGTATTCAAAAGTTATAATTCTTTAACTTATTTATTTATTATAATTTAATTTTTAATTTAAAATAAATAATTCTTTAAAGTTATATTTTCACAAAAAAATAGATTAAAATTTAACATATAAACGGATATAGTTATATAGATTTTGATTTTCATACAACCTATCATGGGATAAAATTATATAAAGGGCGGTACATTTTTATTCTCAAAAATCCTACCTTTACCCTCCCTAAGATTTAAAATATTATTTTTACATGAAATTGCTGGGATTTAATCATTGGTCATTGAATTTAAAATTTTAATATTTTATCAACAAATTATACAATTATTAATAAAATTTTAAATATTTTAGTGTATAATAAAAATGACATATTAAAGTTTGGTTTTGACTATACCAATTTTTTAATTAATTTAATATCAGTGACACCTATTTAATTAAGAGATTTATATTTAAAAGCCATAAAGTTAAATCAAAATAGACAATTAATTAGGACGTAACTCTTTTATAGCAATATGAGTTATAAATTTACAAAGTTAAGAAGAAAAATTTAGTAAAAAAAAAATTCGCAAAACACATTGAGGTGACGCTCATTTTTTTAAGTGAAATTTATGAAATTTTTTGTTAAAAATAATTTAATAAAAATTAAAATCAATAAATTAATAAAATTCAATGAGAAAATTAATAATATGTAAAAAAAAATTTAAAAATATCATTTATAATTTAAATTTAATTATTAATTATTTAATAGTAAAAATTTTATCAAAAATTTAATAAAAATGCCTATCTATCTAAGAAGTATATCAAAATTTATTAATCTTTTCTCAAAATTTGCACATTTATCTATGTAACAAAATCTTTTAATTTTATTAATTTGGATTTTCAATTTTACTTTTTATTTAATCGTTATTAGTAAAAAAATTCATCTAAAATTTTCGATTTGAAAAAGAAAAATTATTGAAAAAAAAATGTTTAAGACTTCATTTTGATTGGTTATGGGAAGAGATTCTTATCGCAACATCACGTTGTTTTATGAGCACTAAATCCCTTTTCATTACTCGTCTAAATAAAGTCTCTAAATTAAGCATATGCTATATATTTAAATAGAAGGTTTCAAAAGATATATATATATATATATAATAATTCTAAAAATAGAGTTATTTTGTATTTAATTACATGATTTTGCTTAGTTTTTAATTAATTAATTTAATTATCCTTGTTAATTTATTTAATTAAAAGTAAGTAAATTAAAAGAAACGGAAACAAAATGAACTTGGAAGGAATTTTGGAGATAAAAGATTAAATTTGAAGCTTAAAGAATTTCACATGAGCGAGACATTTAGTTATATGTGCAAATTGGTTACATTAGCTATTGATTTGAAGATGGAATTGGACCTTGGAATTGTGTCTTCGAAGATACAATTAATCAAGCTGCTGCCATATGAGGACAAAGGAAGTCTCGTTTTCAAGCG